GGGTTACTGTGTCCTATTTGTTCTAGGAGAGAAGGTTATGTGTTCTCACTTCGTTCTTCTGGCATGAGGGGCAGCGGGGGGAAATGCAAGGACAGAGGCAGGGGCAAAGGGTCTTCTGTAAGAACAGATGGTGTGTATCATCTCCTGCCTGAAACCCCCTTTCATCCAGATGACCTGAACATCGGCGGAATTGTTGGTGGGGTTCTGGTTGTCCTTGCTGTACTGGTCCTAATAACAGTGGGCATCTGCTGTGCATACAGACGTGGTTACTTCATCAGCAATAAGCAGAATGGGGAAAGGTGAGCCTGTCTTAAGTATGGGGGGGCGGGGGGAAGTTCACGTTGGCATTAATATGATCACCAGTACTCATGGGACTACTCTCTTCTTCTATTTCAGTTACAAGAATCCAGGGAAGCCAGATGGAGTTAACTATATCAGGACAGATGAGGAGGTATGGAGTGAGGGTAAACAGCAGACATCACTTAGGAAACCTAGAAGTCAAGGTGTTTCCAGCAGGGAAGATGACATTCCTCCTTGGAGACCAAGTGGGTCCCATAGGAAAAAGTTTTCCCCATTATATTGCAGCCCCCGAGCTCTGTAGCCCTTCACAATGACACGTACATGTCATGCATTTACAGTTGCAAGCTCTTGATGTTACTTGTTAAGAATGATTAATTGGCTGTTTTGCCAGTTTCTTCTTTGGGGAAGTGGTGCCTTCGACCTGACCACCATTTTCCCTTGCCCACTGTCCCCTTGATTGGTAGAGGATGGCTGAGTTCTCACTTTTGTGTTGGCCTTGCAGGGCGACTTCAGACACAAGTCCTCATTTGTGATCTGAAATCTGACGGTGTGGCCGAGAGCACATGCAATACCTCTACTGGAAATTTCTATCGAGAGCAACCTGGAGCGAAGTGAACTTGGACAGAGCTAGACACCTGTGCAAAAGCTTTTTGTTTTGGCCAAAGTTGACCGCTACTTCTTACTTTTTAACAAGCCACGTGAATAAAAGAATTTTCCTCAAGATGCACACAGTCATCACAAGAGAAAGAAATTGAGTGGGTTCCCGGAGGTGGATTCTAGTCTTGGGCCTGGCCTCCTACCTGATTGGTGGGAGGATTTGGAAGCTCTTGCTCACAGACTCTGCTGAGGTGGGCACTGTGGCCCTGGGAAGCCAGTTGATTTGCCACTTGCTGTCATCAGCCAGGGTGAGCCCCACTTGAGGGGTGACGAGGTAGCTGTGTCACGCCAGCAGTGTAGGGCTTGGTAATGTGAATCCCAGCGTGAAACCCTGCAGCTGCAAAGTTTGAATCACTGAGACTCCAGAACAGAGGCTTTTAATGCAATGACTTTGTCTCACAGTGGTCCACAGACAGCCCTGCCCCATTTCTTTTTAAAGGCATTGTCGATCAGTGTTATAGTAACCATCTTGGAGAATCTTTTTGGATCAGCATTTTATAAAAACAGGCAAAATCCAGGTCAATTGCTTGTTGAAAGGGGCCTTCTTTCTTGCCTGTAGGAACCCTGCTTGTCCATGGAGGGTTTCAGTATTTAAGGAAAACCTCCATCTTAGGCTAAATCCAAAATGGTACTAAAATAACATTCTGCTTTTCTATGGGTGTTTATTTTATAAAATTTTACATTCTAAATTTTTGCTAAAGATGTATTTTGATTATTGAAAAGAAAATTTCTATTTAAACTGTAAATATGTTGTCATACAATGTTAAATAACCTATTTTTTACAAAAAGTTCAACTTAAGGTAGGTGTTCCAAGCTACTCGTGTTAAATTGGAAAATGTCAATAATTAAAAGTATCTTATCCGAAGGAATCCTATCAAGGCTTACTGGAACATTCCTTTTTCCACGTTTGTAGCATTTTTCACAAGAGAACTTACGCCCTCTATACATCAGACCATTGTTGCTTAGGAAACCTATAAAAATTCCAGTTGAGTAATGTCAAAATCTGTTTGCATCTCTCCAAAAGAAACATAAACTGTTAGGTTAGCCTTGAACTACCTCTTCCTTCGATTACGAAAACTACCTATGCCCAAAGACCACCCAGAAGCTTTTAGACATATGTGTGCAAACCATGTTAGTCAACTCCAGGGTTGAGTCATATGCCCGTCCAAGTGGGTACTGGCCACTAACTTCTAAGGCTAGCCAGCATGTCCCTTTCAACCTTTAATGCTCTGGCTTTGTGCCATTAGCTTTAATATGCTCATGTGCCACAGGCACTTGGCTCAGCCTAGGACAGTTGTAAGGTGCATACTTCAGGAAAGGTGGGTCTTCTCCATGTGGCACCACTGGGACACAGCTCTTACTGATTGCCGATGGCTCCTGAAACAAAGCAGCTATTGCTATTGGGTTTTTCGGTTCATTTTACTTATTCGTGTAGTTCATAAGACTGTCCAGGGCCAAAGGCCGGTTTGAAATCAAATCTGTCAACCGTGATCTTTTTTAAAGGAAATGAATTCCACCATTCCTCTTTGGCACAGAGAAAGCAACGAGACACCGCAGGTTCTCACTTCCCAGTAAACCGTACGTGGCGGCAGCCGGGCCAGCCCTTTGGAGACGATCAGGGGGTGCAGCCGGGGCGAAAGCCTGATGGTGAGAGGAAGGTGCCCAATCAAAGGCAGTGTTCCCATTTTGATTTTAGAGTTTTTATCTACCCCAAGACACGGCTCACTTTGTGGGGGACATTAGAAACATTCAAAAGCCTTTGTTCTTCAAGAGCAGACGTTCTTAGCCTCAGATGCATTGCTGTGTTAACTCATGATATGAAGCGGTTTGAAGCAGAGCTTCTCAGAGGAATGCCTCCGATTCCATTGTGTGCTTAGAGGATGGTTTTTATATAGAAGAATGTAGTCATCTTGGGATTAAACTTTCAGTGTCTTACTTTTTTTATACTTTGAGGTTTTTTTAAATTAAATACTTGAGACTTATGTTGACTTTTCTTTTTAAAGTTAGGTGAAACACTTTGCCACAGGCTACTTGGCAGAGGCAGTTGGCAGCTCTTTCTAATTGTTTAATGGTACCTATCTTTGCATTTGTGTCTTGAATGCTTAGAATTCAGACTATCCTTCCATCTTCACCTCCTCTTGGTAGAAAGGGATAGCTTCCTCCTTCTCTAATTGTTGGAGAATCAACTCTAGCCTCCATCTTGGTTGTCAGTGATAGGGTGGCCTTACTGCCTCCTCCTTATGCCCTAAAACCTCCTACCCTAGTGCCACGTGAACCAGGTCTCACAGAGGAGAGAGAAGTGAAATGTGGAGTCTGGGAAGTAGTTGCCTTTACTGTAAAAATGTAGACAGAAAAGGAACATTCATGTTTTTTCAGATGTGAATGTGACTAAAGACTCACGGCCTCTACAAGGTTGTTGTGGCCTTTGGTGTGGCTGTTGCTGTACATAGATGTTAGACTTGTACTAACACACCTGTAAGTTGTATTGGTTAAACCTCCATAAAAGCTTAAAAAAAAAAATCAACTTTGCCTCATTGTTTCTTTCTTATTTGCCCTCATGTTGGCTTTACCTCTTCTTTCTAGAATTTTATTAGGTAAATACACTTAAAATAGTGTAGTCCCAGGTTTAAAGAGAGATTGCCATCACTGTCTACATGAATTGGAGATACCGTATTTCCCCAGGTATAAAACGCTCCCATGTAAGACGCACCTTAATTTTGGGGCCTGAAATTTGAAAAAAAAATTACATGAAGTTACTGAACTGCAGTTTTATTCATCATAAAATTCATACAACTCCTCATCACTTGCGGGAAATGCAAGTTAAAAAAAACCCAAACAAAAACTACAACCACTATATAAGACGTATCCAGTTTTTTGAAAAAGGGTGCGTCTTATACATGGGGAAATACGGTGTTGACTCAGCAGCAAGCAGCTGTGACTCCCTCCACCAATGACTTATCCACACGTCATAGTTCACATATGGGAGAGCTGTGGGGTGGATCACAGTGACATTCCACCCCTGCAAGCCAATTACCATGTTTTTATTAAAAACAGACACAGTAACCCTGTACTTTTCATTCTGTGTGACAGTTTGCATGGTTTCAGCTCATCTTCCTTTAGTTCTGTGGTTGCCCTTCCCCTACTTTGGTATATAAATGGTTTCTACTTTTGGTAAAATCTCCTGCTTAACATGAGGACCATCTCTGCCCTCACTGTCTTTGGCTGAACCGGTGCCTGGAGAGCAGCTTCCGGTCAGGCCCTGCTTCCAGCCCTTCTATGGGCTCTAGACTGAGCACACGCCATGGTGGGGCGGTGGCCATGCTTCCCAGCCCAGTGGGCCCCCAGGAAAAGGCCCAGCTGAATTTCTTTCTGGTCATTCTTGGACAAAGCAGACATACATGTTTGAAGGTTACCGAATGGTGCTGCCAGAGGAAACTAAAGTCATCTCCCCTTGTGGGAACTGTCCTTAGGAGATGATAACACAAATCGGCATTAGTGCCACTTGGAGTAAGGGACACAAAGCAGGTTTTCGTAAACAGGACTATTTCTACACTAAAAGGTACGTCTGTTGTTAGGAGGCAGACAGCTGTCTAGGGACTAAGGCAGTGGGACAAACTAAACCTTAAAGACAGTCATTTTTTTTTTATCTAACAGGGAAGATTTGGTTTTATTATGTTTGAACACTTTATGTAAATTAAAATGACCAATAAAAGCCCTGTTCTAAAAATAGAAAAATTCTATCCAATACTAGAGGGCTGTATTTATGCTTAACCTTTATTATTCCATTTTAGAAAGCCATACACTTTTTTAAAAAATCTGCAATTCATAAATAAGAATAGAAAAAATATTACAATTGAAATCTTGTCATTAGATAATGGGAAACTCTACTGTAAGGAATTCATATCAGCTAACAGAGGCTGGATTTATATAAAAGAAAGCTGATGTGTTGTGTTCCTCAAGGACCAGAATATAGCTTATCAGAACAGATGGACTTGATACTTTCAAATGGAGTAAAGTTATAATAAATAGCTAAGACCTTTCCCTATTATTTTATAATTTTTGACCACATACTTCATAAAAAGAAAAGACTGGCCAGCTACACAGATGAACAATTAAAGAGTGTTGGAATCATAGGGACAAGCTCTGGTATTACATAGTGACAGTATTCTTAGGGTTGTGAGGGAAGCCATACGTCTGCCCTTCACATGCAGAAAAGGGTCCTTCCAAGCTCCTGCTTCTCTGACACTAGAATGCGCTGTTTTAGTTGGCTGTTTTCAGGGGCGCCTTTCGGAGCGACCTCCTACTGGGGGCTGGGTTGTCTTTATTTCTGGCCGGAGACTTCACATTCCACTGCTGAGGCTGTGGAGGCCTAGGGAAAGAAAAGATAGAGTCAATCTGGAACTAAGAAAAAACTAACAAAAACCACCTCAAAAGGAACTCTTGGTAAACTTACGGTTTATCCGGCAATGATAAACATAAAATGTCATTTCCTTGACTCTGGGGTTCAACTTTCTCTGAAAGGGAGTCAAACAAACAAATTTAGATTTCCCAGAACTCCAGAGAAGCTGAAGTATCTGACAGGAAGGGACTTGCCTTTGACTGCCAAAGGAGTGCGTGGCGTGCCTATGTAGCTGACTCCTGCTTCAAACGTGACATCGCTGATGGTCTCTGGATAAAGGGGAAACAGCATGGTTAATGAAAAGTCGGTAAGAAACAAACATCAAATAATGTCAGCTGAGTAAGGTGTTATGGAGTTCCTGCTATGGTTTCATTCAGTCTCTTACATCAGTACCAGAGTGACTGTCAAATTTAGAAGCCCTCTAAGTCAGGCTGCAATTTATTTGACCTTCTTGTACGACTTGACCATGTTGAAGGCTCAGTCCTTCCTTCATGTCCATGGTCTCCTGACTTCCTTTCTCTGGACACTCCCCATCTTAGACTGCTTTGCTGGCACCTGAGCACCCACTGCTCACTGTCTCTGGCTTCTCACCCACCCCATGTCTTCAGTCACTGCCTATCTATCAGTGACCCCCAACTCCAGCTCAGACTTCTCTCCTACTTTTCCTATTGCACCTGAATTCCCTGAAGATGCTTCACCAATTCACTCCCTCCGCTCAACATGTTCCTTCTACATCCCCAACCAGTGCTCTAGCCAAGCTGGGCATGCCAGCCATTACTAGCTCCTTCTCCACACCTAATCAGTACTGAGTCCCATCGCTGCTCTCCCTACTATCCACCTCCTCTCCTGTCTCACTGTGACAGTCTTCCCTCATCTCACCCTTGATCTAGCACAGTGGTCTCCCATTTCCAGATCTCCCTTAGAAGGCAGGAGAGCACAGTGTAGGGACAGACTCTGAATCCGACTCTGGGTTTGAATTCTGGCTCTTTCTTACTAGCTTGGGAACTACTCTAAGAACCTCAAGTTTCTTTACCTCCAAAATGGGATACAAATGTACCGACCCCAGGGGAGTTGTCAGGATTAAATGAGATCATTTATGTAAAATCCTTAACACAATACTTGGTACAAGGTAGGTGCTGAAGAAATGTTAGCCACTATTGTAATTTATTAGCTATTATCCGCTATGTCAGTTAGGTAAATTTGTTTAAAATTCTGGTAAGGTCACGGCCCTGCTTTAGTATCTTGATGGCTCAGTGTTTAGAGGAGGGCCCCAAATCCTGCCCGTCTGAGCTGGGCAACAGCCTCTGTGTGAGCTGGCCCCAGGGCAATCCGATTATCATGGTTCTTCAAGCAGGCCCTGGTCTGTCACACCTGGGTCTACACAGGCAGCTCCTTGTTCCTGGAGTGTTCTTCCTGAGCCAACTATAGCATAGCACTCCTGAGACCTGGGAGGCAACGCCTCTCCCAGTGACCTGTTCCTCCTTTGTGTACTGTGTCATTTTGCACGAGCCGCTATGACATTTGTCTGAACAGAGCACAGGCTCCATGGCTGGGTGCTGGCTGTCCTGTCAGAGCCTGTTGTCCCTTCTGCAAAGATACTTGGGAAGTAAGCTGCATTGTTCTTCCCTTTCTCCCCTACACTGGAACCTTAGGGTACTGAATAGATCTTTCTAGTGAATGAATTAAAATCCACCAATGAATCTGCAGTGCTACGTGCCTGAGCTACTCAAGCTATGTTAATAGACAATGATTGAGAACTGTATCTTCAGCACTGCCATCCAAATAGCTCAGTTCTGCTTATTCCCATTACTGGGAGGTCTCTCCTTGTATTAGTTGAAATCCCCTTCCTTCCATTCACATTCCTTTTCCTGTTTGGAAGCCTGTGCACATCCAGGTAATAAGTCTCCAACCTTCACAAAAGCACCAAGGCAGTAGCACTTAGATCCCCCATACACTTTGTAGGCGCTTACAATTAAAGGCAGAAGCATTTTTGCTGCCTGAGTTACAGCAGTGAGAGGGGCTTGCTAAACTCCCTACAGATTTTGTTAAAATCTAGCTCTGAAAATTATTCATTTCCATTTAGCAAAACCACTTTGTTAATGCTGAGTACCACTGCTGTGCCAGAACTGTGGAGCCGGGTAGCATTTTTCCTGTTGGGTTTCGTAGAGCTGAGACCACCTCCTGATAGTCACCCCACCTTAGAGTTGTCAATAGAATTTGTATGTATAAACCACAGAGAAAAAAGAACTGAGTTTTTAAAAATTCTCTAATAATTCTCCCAGAAAAGAGAGCTAATAGGAGACCCTTCTTCAAGCCTTTCTTCCTGGTTCAGAAGAAGAAGAGATTCCCCAGGAATTTTACATTCAAGAGCACAGAGAAAGAAAAAGTGCTCCATTGATCTGGGGACACCTGAGAGTCTTACTTTCAGTGCAAAAATGGCTCCACATGTACAAATTCAAGCAGCATTAATGCAGCATGTCAGGCTTCACTGCTGAGGAATACATGCTGCCAGGAAACCAACCGAAGACTGAAATCAGGGCCTCATGGGGATGGGCAAAGCTAAAATGAGATTCGTCCTCCCCGTTTCTGCAGCACATGGTACCTAACTGCCAAACAGAAGCACTTGGTGCCCCTGAGCCAGGAACACAGAACATGCAGAAAACTCTTCTGTGTGAAACAGGTTGAGTTTTTTACATATATTACATTACACCTGTTCAATATACACGAACCCAAAATTACCCACTTCTTTTAATGACAAAAAGCTGTCATGGTTCAGCTGTCATCTGAGGAGAGGTGGGGGAGGAGTTGTGTTCAGACGTTAACCTCTCTTAAAAGGTGAACTTGGATGAAAATTACCTATAACCTGGTAAATATTCTAAGATACCACAGCCTCACAGGTAGTCGGACTGCCAAGCATGTAGCTAGAGCACAGCAGGTGCCCAGTGACTTTGTATTGACTGAATGCACGACTGAATGAATGGATTGATGCTTTGCTGCTCCATTATCATAAAGAACATCTTAGCACTATTCTCATCTTATAATAATGCCCAAGATTAGCACTGTGAGTGGAATAAGGCTGTAGAAAGGTACACAGGAATTGGAATAAAAAAACCTGAGTTTAAGTCCCAGCTCTGCCATTTAACAAACTTCTGTTCACATCTATCATGCTCCCGACACTGTGGTGGGTCTGGTGGATACAGTGAGGCATAAAACAGCTTAAAGGGTGCAGAGGTGGTCACTAGGAAGGGGGTGTTCTAGGATGAGGACATGTCACACGACAGCCAGCGGCAGAAGAGAGTGGGGCTTGTGCGGGTACTCAGAGGGGACCACCCATGGCTGGGGTGCAGAGTAAGGCAGAAGGTGGCACGAGACCAGGCAGGAGGCAAGTGGAGACACGTGCAAACTACACTACAGATTTTGGACGAGAATTTCTTCACACTGTCAATTTTCTCAAAATAATGGTTTTTATCGGTTTTGAGACAAGAAGAAGCTATAAAATAACGGGGGAAAATACACCACACCTCTCTTTTGAAATAAAAGAATAGGACGTTAGAAAAATCCGCCCAATGGGAGTGAGAAGACATACGCTGTCAGCACAGCTGGCGGTGGAATCCTCGAGCTGCCACTGAATCTCAAGTCTGTTTGCTCCAGAGCTGAACTCGGTGGCAAACAAGGTGCAGGCCCCTAGTGCTGACATCGGAGAGCTAAAAAGCAAGGCTGGCTGAGCAAATCAAGTAACCTGGGGAGTCAGGCAGGAGTGGTGAAATGTTGGCTCCAGAATGGCAAGAATGGCGCTGCCTAGAGAAGTTACTTCAGGGCTCTGCGCTTCCGCTTCATCGTCTGTCAAGTGAGGATACCTCCCAGGGCTGCGCGCGGTGTAACTGAGGTAACACATGTAAAAGCACTTGGAAGAATGCTGAATGTTTAGCTTGTGCTCAGTCAAGTTGTTATAATCATTCCAAAACATTTAGTCTGATGGCCATAACGCCCTACGACGCTGTTGAGCCTCAGGAGAGCCTTCATCCAGTAAAAGGACTTTCTTGCAATAGAGGGAGTTTTACTGCAAGTCCAGCAGACACACAGTGACCACAGGGGAGAGTGAGAAGCCGGCTCACTCACATGAGCTACTTACTCTCAGGAGTACTGACTGCTCGTTTAGTTACATGGTCAATGGCTCCACTGGACTCTTGCTCCAAGCTGTATGAAGATGCTAGGATAAAACAGGAAAGTTTTATCTGTCCAAAATTTCCAAAACAATATCAAACAGCAAAACAACCAAATGAGAAAAAATATTCGCAAGATATAAAACAAAGTTAATATCCTAAAGTGATCTTACAGAGGTTAACTAAGGAAGATACAAAAAAAAAAATCATAAATATGAGAAACAATGTCCATTCTCACTAGGATTGAAAGAAATGGAAATTAAAATTATAACTATAGTATTTTTAGCCTATAAAGCTTAGCAAAGAAAATGGAAAATTATAAAACCAGTGTTTGTAAGTAGGAAAATGGACACCCATGTGACATTAGCAGGAATATGTAGAGTGAATTATAGAGGGCAGTTTGACATCAAAAGTTTTAAAAATATTCATGGCCTCTGGGTGCTAGGAATTAATCCTAACGATTACACAGGTATAAGGATATATGTACAAGGATGTTTATTGTGACATTATTTCAAAAACTGAAACACACACCTACATTTCCAAAAATAGGGTAGTAATAAAAAAGTGGGGCACTTCCATAAGACACAATGCTGCACAGCCATTGGGAGAAAAGTTTTGAAAGAAAAATCCATGGAAAACTTTCTACTACATATTATTAGAATTATGTGTAGGGAAGCAGGTTATAAAACAGCGCACGCTAAGATCACAATTTTATAAATAAAACCAAGCACACGTGTGTGAGGAGTAGAAAGACTAGAAGAATAAACATCTTACTCCTATGGGTGAGTTTTCTATTTCACGGACCTTTCCAAATCTTTTATCATAAATATGCACTGTTTTATTATCTATAATACTAAGTCCCTAATCAAAGTTATTTGTTTTAAAGATAATAAAATGAAACCGTTTTAAAAGGAATGAGAAGGCTTGTACTGTGTTTCAATCTGCAAACTCACTATGTCTGAGACGGAAAACCGAGTAGTTCTGAGCCTTCTGGAAGAAAGACTTAAGCTGTAAGACTTACCATGATTGTGCGTTTTGCCCAAGCTTTCAGAATTTAAAGTGAAGGGCAACACTCCTATGCTCCGATTCCGACTCCTGCTGTTCGACTCCACAGCTTTCTTGACAGAGTTTAGGATTGCAATGGTACTCAGGGACATGGACCTGGGAAGGGGAACATACCAGACATGCAGAAAGCAAGAGTAAAAACACAGATGCCACTCCCCATTTTCTTTCAAATGAATCCCTCATTCACACTCATTTCAAATCTGAAAGGGAAGAGCCCGGAGTGAGGTATCAGTGAAAACACGGTAACACTCGTATTGAAAACATCTCTTGGGGCATGGCAAACATGCCTCGGAGGATATGGTGACAGGGAGCCAGCCTGTGACTGATTCTGTGGGCTCCGTACCTGGCTTTGGGTATTAACCTCTTCAACGGCCCAGTTTCAAGTGAAAGAGGCAAAGGAGGTGCCTGGTTAGTGCTTGACATGGATATTGAGGGCTGGCTTGCGGCATGGGGTACAGAGGCATTTTCTTGACCCGCAGGAGCTGGCAATATTTCTAAACTTGGAGCAACCTGTCAGAGAAGATAAATAAAGAGTAATTACCTTCTAACACTTAAGAGAAAAGAAGAATCTTTATATGCTATGAGAAAGTCCATAAGCCATCCATTTTAAAGCCATGTCATCCTGGCTTTACATGGGCAAGTAGAATTTTCTCTTCAGAAACAGTACTGTTGGCAGACTGCCACAGAGAGATGTTGTGGTGTTAAAGAGAAAAAGGAGAAAGTGAGTTTGTCCTCATCATTTTTCAAGGCGGCAGATCTGTCTGGATGTCTCACAGACCTGAGCACGCTTCTCTGAACATGAGCAGCCGCTCACCTAGAAATGCCCCCAAGTAACCGTTAAGTTCTCAAGAGGGGCGTGCTGGGAGAAGGAGCGCAAACAAACTAGGCAGCCTAGGGAGACAGGGTTATCTACCGATCACTGTAATCAAAGATCAGAGAACCCCGCTGCCAGCTTGCTTTCTGGGCATTCACACATTTCCCCCAACTAATATTCCAGTGGCTTTCCAGACAAGTTCAAGTGACGTGGCCTTCAGGGAAGGGAAGCCTCCGTGATCCATCTCCCTGCGTATCCCGTGTAACAAACCACGTAACAAACGCAGTGGCCCGCAAGCGGCAATGCTGAAGGTCTAAGTCAGACCAGCCCCTGCTTCCGTGTACAGTGGAGAAGAGCCTGGAGAGGAGGGTCAGACGTAGGGGGCTGCTCATCTACCTGCGCGGCACCTGCCGCCTCCCTGTTCACATCTGCTTGTTTCGCCAGCTCTTGCTCCTGGGCCAGCTGTTCGTTGTACTTCTTCATGTCATACTCTAGTTCTGATGCCAGCTGTTTGTCAACTGCAAAGAAATCCTTGATTTCATCCCGGTAATCCTGCATGACCTCCTAAAACAGACCCAGAGGCATCCTTTAATGTTTTCTTGAATAAATAAATAAGCTCTCCTTATTTAAAAATCCTTAGCATTTTTGAGGAAGAAAATAGCATAGTATAAATAGAGAAAGGAAAAACCTGTTGCATTTATTTCTGATTGAAAGGTTTTGCCACAAAGGTCTGAGGCCTTATGTCTGCACTGCAAGTATCCATACCCTGGCTGCCTAGATTGAGGCTTTTCACGGTGTAGGACCCCATCGGTGACAACAGCCTGGCCTCTGATAGGTGTTCCCCAAGGTATACTGCTATAGGGCAGTTATGTCCTGACTTACAAATCAGAGGTTGTGTTAAAGGTCATTATCCCCAAATTAAACATGATGACTAATATTCACTTTTTTCCCCTCACTAGAATAAATTTAGATGATGACTTTGCTCTTGACTCCGGTTGAGAAAGTCTTTAAAATGGAATCTAATTGGCATGAAGGACACACATGCTTAGCACTTCAGAAACTCAGCTGCACGAAAAAAAGCAAGGACCAGCTTCTGTGGAACCTATGGTCAAACTCTCTGTCTTCTCCTCAAAAATCAAAGGTCTGTCTGGCTGGTCTAGTTCTAGAAAAGTGTAACACTGGTTTTGAGGCATTCTGAGTTCTAGTCATTCACCGATTAAGTACACCATCATAATGGCCAGAAGATCCTGAGTAATGAATTGCGGAGCGGGGAGACACCAACCACAAAGTACAAGGTCATCTTTTACCCTGAGATAGTTCATGAGTTCCCGCAAAGCTGGGATCTTATTCTTCTCTAGCACAGTCTTCAGGGAGATGATAATTGGAATAATGTTTTCTATGAAATTCCTCTTCTGAACCTGTAGTAACACAAAGGCATGTTTTAGATGCATAAAGGTCTGAAAGACAAAGACTTCACCTTGAACTAGCTCTTTTGTCTAGCAGATCTTGTCACTATATAAATTTACTTTTGGTTTTTGATTATGGTCCTGGGAATTGAATAGGACACATCATCTTTGTCCTGGAGACTTTATAAGCATTACCTCAAAACACTAGGAAACCTTTGCAAAGTAGGACACAAATAAATAACTATTCTTATTTTCTAAACAAAAAAAAGAAAGTAACGATACATTGGATAACTTGACAAAAAGCTCCAAACTTTCAAACAAACCCATCACGACACATACAGTCCCTTCATTCAACATCCTCTATTTGAAATGAAAATGAGTTCAATTCTGGCTACCCAAGAGACATTTTTAATTCCTACAGGTGAAATGACAACGGTCGAAAATGGCTAAGCATAAAGGTAGTCAAGTTTTGTATTTCCCGCCCCCCCTTCTCTTGTGTGTAACTGTATATACATTTAGGAAAGTGCTAATCTATTTACAGAGTCCCTGACTTGGCCAAGCTTTCATATTCTTTATCATGAATGATCACTAACCACAAATGTTTTGCAGTAAATCTCTTAGAATTAAAACCAATCCATTATAGTAGCACACATGTTATGATTTATCATGCTGAATCTGAAAAGTATTTTTTCTTCTCATGTAGTCATGCGTATATTTTCCTTGCTTGTAAACCACTCATTTCTAAAATGTCTTATCAGAGTTTCTGAAATAGGAGGGCAACAGGTAAAATAAACAATTTAATAAATACGAGGCTAAGTAGATGGTACATATAGGGATAGTCTTAAAAAGTGACTTAAATGCATTTACTCAGCAAGTATTATTACCAAACACCTTCTCTGTACCAGACACAAAGCCAACCTCAGGGGATACAGAAAGGATACCAAGAATTCTTGCCTTCAAGTTACTTCTAGACCAGACTAGCAGTCTCTGTTATGATGTGTAGCACGCTGTGACAAGTGGCAGTGTATTAAGGAAGTTATGGAGGAGGAATGCATAGGAAGGAAGGGGTAAATAGTATAAATCAGGGAAGGCTTCTTTGAAAAGATGACACTTAGGATGCGGAGGAATTAGGTTGCAGAAAGAAGGGGACAGGGTGAGAGCAGACACTGCAGACAGAAGCAGCAGCATGCAAAGGCACAGAGGCACTAGAGACACCTCCCATCTGAGGGAAGAACAGCAGTCTGGAATGGAGAGCTTAGAGCGGGGAGCAGGCAGAGAAGGGATGGGGTGGGGGCGGCACAACACACACAAGAGTTCTGTATGCCTTGAAGAAGAATCAGGATTTTACTCAGAAGATGAGTGGAAGCCACCAGCCTATTTATTAAAGATATCATTAGAGGTACAACTTATATATGATAAAATTTGCCCATGTTAAATCAACAGTTCAGTGAGTTGACACAAGTATATACTGAGTAACCAACACCACAATCTAGGCCGTCACCTACAATCCATCGCCCCAAAAGTTCCCTGCTGCCTGCCTGTCTGCAGTCAATCTGCCTCTCGTCTATTTTAAGCAGGGGAACAAAATGATTAAATTTGTACTTAAGAAAGATTGCTCTGGCAGCAAGGTGATGCTCAGACTGGAACAGAAAGAAACTGGAGACAGAAAGGGTGCTGAGGAAATTGCCAGAAATGGCACAGGCTTACATGAACACATAACCAGTAAAAATGTGAGAGAGATGGGTTTGTAAGATAAGATGTGAATGTGGAATGTGATCAGTCTATTTCTTTGGGTTCAAAAGCCTTCAGGGCTCAGATGGGAAATATGAATTAGCAGCCCAGGCTAGCTATAAGAGCCTGGGGCCTGTCCACTCAAGTCATTCCAATTCCAATCTCCACACTCGCTGGCCAAAGGCAACGTGTGCCTGGCATGCCGGACTCGAGACTTGGGGAGCGCTAGGCTCCCTTCTCCACAATAGAAGACTGTGGGAGAAGAGAGCAACAAACAGAAGGAAGAAGGGATGAGTAATTTGGTTTTGACAGAGAAAGTTTGAGATGCCTGTGGCACAACCAGGCAGGCAAGTGGGACTGGTTCAGGCTCATGAGAGAAGTTGAGCTGGAAACAGACATGGAGAGTAACTACCACCTGGGTGATTGAAAGTCACTGGTAAGAATGAAATCGGGATTTCAGCTAGACCACCAGTATTTAGTGGTGTGACCGGGCCTACTTAGAGGATAACACACTCACTTGTGAGAGGAGCTTTTTCTGAGCTTCCTGCATGACTACATTTGCCAGGGCCATGTCATCTTCTTCCATAAGGAGGTCCTTATCTGGTTTCGATCTCATTGCCAAAAGTTTGATTTCCTTTGAGCTGAGGACCTCAAAGGTATCTGAGAGTAACTCACTGGCTTCCATATCCAGGGGCAGGATGCCGTCGGCGAAGCACGCTGAGAAAGAGTACAAAAGATCGGTTTCTGAAAAACAGTCTGGCCTCCCAGCTAGGGAGGTATCCCTCACAGAGCTAGGAGGGCCTGTCTGGGCTGCAAGGGGTCTACATGGGCACAGCTGACGTCCAAAAAGGGGGCTTCCTGTAGGACGAGGGTCCCATTTGTTCCAGATCTGCTGGACTATTAGCAACACAACATTTCAGTTTTAAATACACATTTGATCCCACACACAACAGGCTTACCCAAAATACTAAGGCAGATTTTGGAAGTCATATTGAATCGCTGGTCATCTGTGAAGTGCTCTAGAAGAAACTTGTAGATTTTCATTCGCTTCTCCTTGTTTGTCTTTCCCTTCAGTGAAAAGAGCCGCTTCTCTCTATGGCGAAACAGGACAATTTTACCACATCACATGGGCTAGGGTGAAAAGGACTTTAATTTTAGTAGCATTTCCCAGCATCCTAAAGGCAGTCTACCATGCTCATCAAAGGCATTTTCCCCTTAGCACTCCTGGTATGAGTGAATTTCCTTGCATGGCCCTGCCGAGAGAAGTAACAACCCCACAAGGAATATGTGGGTTGGGGTCTGGGCCTGACCACCGTACAAAGCAGCTGACCATCTCCCACTGCTCACCCAGCTCTCCCGGGAGCCTCACTGACCTCTCTGACTGGGGAAACTTGTTATACTTCTCATGCTTCTCGTAGTTATTGAAGTGGAAAATACACTCAATGAAGTGCTGGAAGAACATGACAGGATTTCTCTTCAGTAACAGGTGAGCCAGGCAAAACTCCCCAAAACTGCAAAAGAAGGAGACCTATTGGCTATCTGCAGAGAGCCAATAAAAATTATACCAACAACTCTGCAATACAGAGGGAAACTGTCAATTAGAGTAAGGCATACTAAATCTATCACAATAAACAGCTTCATTCACACCAAAAGCAAGATCCGAATTTAGCTTCTTTTATCTGTCCTTGCTAAACATCCTCCTTTTTGAATCCGAAATCAGTGTGAAGGCTATCTCTACCAGGTGTCCTTTCAAAATTCTAACAAGGTGTCATTATTCAGCTACACTTCAAATGAAGGAAAACAACCAACCCACCCCAAACAGCTTCTTCGAGCAGAGGTAGTGATAAAGACCAACTGAAAATGAACACTTGGATTTCACCCTCTCCCTCCTACCCCCAATGTGAAGTTTGCCGACAACAATGAACAAAATCCCGTTTTAGTAACTGGAACTGTTTCAAGAATTGGGATTAATGACCAGAGCTTCACAGTTTGGGTCATCAGGGAAGTACCGCCCACAGACAGCAACTGACTTGCACCGAGCTCTGGGCTCCTCAGCCAGCCCTGCGCATGCTCCTTTGTCCTATGCCCCAAACCTGGAAGAGGCGTCTAACATGCACCTACACTGTGGGACACAGACATCACTAGCACCACCCCAACCTGAAGGGCAAAATCTAATGGCTTTCCAAGGCAAATGAGCACTGACAAATGCCAGGCTGGTCAACTTCAGGCTCCCTGACAGCTTCTGTTTCACCAGGACAGCGAGTTCTCGAGAGAACACCAAGGCACTGGTTTTTGGTCAGGGGTCAACCTAAGGTGGTTCAGGGCTGGCTTTGATCCATTCAACTGCCCACACCAATGTTTTCATTTCCTCTCAGAGATAAACGCAATTTCTACCTACCTAGGAGCACCATTCAACTTTCACCTGGAGAGGAGTAGTGACAAGGACAGGCCAAATATTTTATTCCTGCCTTAGGAATACATTAGGACTGGCAGGAGGTGTGCCTTCCCCTATTGTTTCCCCTGAGGCTAATAAATATTCAAATCAGTTTGTATTCACAGCAACATACATCAGTCAATTAAAGGTCAGAAGGTAGCTCAGAAATCATGATGCTGAAAGCAGCCTTGATAAAAATCCAACAGCAAATAGTGACACTTTGACTATTAACCTAGGAAATAAGGGAGCATCCTGACATAATTACGAAAACAAAACAAATAAACTCTATATACTAAAGGAATTCCCTCAGGAGAAATTCACTTAAGGCCACCTAGAAGAATCTGCCTGATCTGAGTCGTCAGTATATTCTACACAAACTGTGTTTTTCAGTAACCCAGATTAGAAAGGCAAAGGAGGTCACAGCATCAGATGAAGTTCTTTTTAAATAAGGGTTACTGGGCCGGCCAAGTGGCGCAATGGTTAAGAACTGGCTTGGGACGCCAGAGGGCCCCGGTTAGGATCCCACATGAGGGCCAGTGACACTGCCCTCCACAGCTAAGATGCTGAACAACAGCTCAACCTGGAGCTGGG